AGCTCACAGCGTCGTCATAACTCAGCCCCCTCAAGCATTTTGTGCTCTGCTTATGGTGTTAACTTTAATGCCTTAACATATAACACCATCCACACTAACACAAAATACTACACATGCCAGATGAGGCTGAGTTATAGTTGCTGGGGGAAGCATAACTTTGAATTTCCTGATTTTGGTGCATTTAATCTCAACCATAATGCATTAACGTCGGTTTTGCATTTCATTTCCCAGTTTAGAATAGCATCAGCGTCTTCGCCTTTTTGTACAGAAAAAAAAAAAAATACAGGCTGACTGAGGCTGAGGCTGAAGACTGAGGGAACAAAATCTTAACAACTGAGCCCTGCTAAAAAGTGGGGCCTAGTCCGTCCTACTTGGACAAAGCTACAAACATGACAAACTAATAGGAAAGGAGGGAAAAGAGGATTTTTTTTCTATAGGGTTCTTTCTTTTTAACCACTTAAGAGACTGTAGGAACCAAAAACAAAAAACAAGAAAGCAATTGTGGAGCAAAGAGCCATACTTGGGGGCTGGGGGCTATCTTTCAAACTTGAAGGGATGAGAAAGGGAATCAATAGAGTCTGATTTATAGTGATCTTATCCAATTTCTATAAACTTTTCCAAAACATCCCTTTCACAAAAGACCAGTAATACTGCCAGTTTCAGGTATAATGAAACCCTTCAAATGCCTTTCTTCTGTATTAATCCTAGTTCTCAGTCACCATCAAACCTTTCCCCAACTCTACCCTCTGAAATTAACCCAATCTCTGTACAATTTTCTATACAAGAGAAGCTCCTTTAAGTCACAAGTCTAACTCAAATACAGATGAAATCTCTCCAAGGTTTCTGAAGGGGACAGGAGAGCAATGGGCAAAGACCAAACACTAGAAAACCTCAACCCCAAAAGGTCATTTTCTCCAACATTATGGGCACTTAAATACAGACAAGAAGGAAAACAGGTCTGCTTCAAAGTAGAGAGAAAGACTACCCAGAAGACCAAAGGACTGATGGAGGCAGCAGCCAGGCCTTCAACTCCCCACATACAGAGAGCTGAACTACCCCTCCCTCTCAAGCCACCCAGACAGCTGAGGTTACTTCCTCCTCCCCACAAGCTGTGGCCTATACCTCATTTTCCTCACTTACATTTACTTTGGTCTCCTCTGAACACTGAGGTGGTGAGAGAACTTGCCCCAGGGTTAAAGATGCACAATTAGAGAGCCACCAAAGCTTTCAGGCTGCTCTCTGGACCCCAGGGTCACAACAACCATCACATCATACACATCCACACCAAATGAGCAAAGCAAACTCCTGTTGGTGAGGACAAAGAAGCCACTGCTCCCTAAACACCAGATAAAAATCTACTCCTGTATAAAAAATAATTCTTAACACGAGAAAGGAACCACATTTCTGAAACTTAGAGCCTCTAAGATACTTTACATCATATAAATTAACATTTAAGAGAAAAAAGTGTTTTTCAATGAAAGTCTTATGTTATGTGAATACCTATCACATAAATAAAATGTTTCTGAATAAAAACATATAAAACAAATGAGCACCTCCCCCAAAAAAAACCTATTCCTAGCAAAACAATCACTCCAGTTTCACTCAGCTGAACAAAGTACAAAAATAAACAGCAAATAATAATAATGACAAATGGAAAATGCTAGGTGTTTTACTCTAGTTATAACTACTATTGTTACACATCCAAGTACAACAGAGCATACACCTGTTAGTTTCTTGTAGAGGCATTCCACTAAGATAGTCTCAATTAGCTGACTCAAAAGAGACTTGAAAATGAGAGACAGATGAGAGAAATGAACTCCAAATAATAGGACCTTCCTGGGCCAAAACATGTTTCTGCCTCACACACCTGGAAGGTATGGCATGCTTGAATTTCAGAGGCTAAAAGATGCAGAAGCGAGCTGTGCAGAGATCTTGGGTACTGAATGTAAAAGAGCCAATCAGAAGATGAGCTGGGTGTTTCTCACTCTACTTCTAGCCCCAAACCCAGGAAACATGCAGTTTTCTCCCATTAAAAGCTTGTCATAGAACAGCTATCTCCCACTCTGAAAGCCATATTATAGTCTAGTAATTTTCCTGTTTCTTCTGGAAGTTCCTTCCTATTACAACCTCAATCTTTCCTCCTTTCATTTAAGTCTGTGTGGACTATTTCTGGCCACTGTTAAAATATAGAGCACGATATTATCACATTTAATACGAATAAGAAATTAGGGGTCAAAGCTGTCTTCCATTTACTTTCTTTCTTACTAGGTTTGTTCTTTGTTTGTCGTCACGTTTGTTCCTGTATACAAGTTGTTCCTGTTTCCTCACCTCCCTTCCTCACCTAGGCAGCAGGGGCTAGGTGAACCTAAACTACAGCCATCTCACTACAAGTATTACCATATCTGGGACTGAAAACTTCTCTCATCCACTTTCCAAGTTTTCTCTAAGGATAGTCCAAAGAATATAGACGTGTGGCCCTAAACTCGCCTCCGCACCTGTTGATGGCAGCCTTGCAGAGGCTTAATGAAGTTGAGATGCATTACATTTATCACTTTCCTCAGGTCCACTCAAATCCATCACCATGTCACAGCAAGAAGTTAGATTGATCTGACAGGATTTGCTCTTCTTCACAAACCCATGTAAGTTATTACTCAGGATCCCACACTCTTCTAGCTGTTTGCTGATTGATTATCTGACGATCAGGCCAAGTATCTTGTCTGGAATCACAGTAAACTAACAGGTCCATAATTTCCAAGATCATTCGTATTCCCCTCTTAAAGATAAGCAAGACAGCAAATGCTTCTCTCCAAATTCTCTAAAGCAACAGCTAGTACTTGGCTAATGATGTACCTTAAGTACCCTGGGAGTCACACCATCAGAGTGACTAACTCTGGAAGAGTCTCTACTCACTGCAGACCCTGGTAAACAACACCAAGTTCTAACTCAGTGTGGGTCATGAGAAACCTTGGTGCCTCAGCCTGGGCAGCAAGTTGGTAACCTATGTGTAGTATCTATCTGCAGTGTGATGATAGACAGACAGGCAGACAGACATGGCCATTGAAAGAGAGACAAAAGATGACACTGACCAAGCAAACTGAGCTATAAATCAGGTTCTACCTTCAAGAACTCTAGCAAGATCTTCCTCAGGACGGGTGAACAGAGCTATGTAACTACTGAACTTGCAATCCCAGTGGAGAGCTAAGAGGCACATATACATAAGCTCGTTCCAGGAAGCAGCAAATGCCTTGAGGGAGTGCCAAGCAACTACGGAGAGTAATAAGAGATAAAGATGAAGCATATGCAATAGAGGTGTGTTAGATTTAGAGTCATGCCCCATTAGGGCTTACTCAGAAACTGAAACTTAATTGTAAGAGAAATAATACGGTGAATTAGAATGTGGATCCTGGTTCTCAACTCAGAGACTCCACAACCAGAATTCCCATCCAACCACTCATCTCCCTGCACTGGCAGGAGCAGGAGGCAGCTCCCAAGCAACATACCCTTCTATCTAATGTTCCTTTGCTTAGGGCACTGTCCTTGTCTAGTAGGCCTGGTTCCAACACTCCAGGGACAAGCCTTTACTTTAACAACAAACAGGAAAGAGAAAAGAAAAAGGGATGTAGTGTCCGACCAGGTAAAACGACCTACCATCTACAGACATCCCCTCTAGAAAAAGCTAACTGTAAGAAATGAAAACAATCTATCTACTATCCCCAGTAGTCTCTGCCTCCCAAGTCCCAATGCTAAGGACTTCTCCCCTCTGGCCTCCTAGTGAAAGCTACTCTCACCAAAGCAATAGGTCTGCATATTCCAGAATTGCACACTATAGCCTAAGCATTGCAGGAGTCGCCATCCTAGAGCCCCGCACACCTGAGTCTCCACACTACAATGAACTACCACACTGACATCTAGCCATTCCCTCACACACCCAGTACCTGTACTCTGCTACTAATCCAAGCTTCCTAGAGACAGTACCTTAAAAGATAAAAGGTCTTTGTATAGTTGGTGACTAAGGAAGAAAAGCAAAGAAATTCTCCTTTCCAATAGACTAGCACCAACAGTGGCACTTATTTGGATTATCTAATGCTACATAACCAATTATACTAAACCAAGTACAGGAACACAAGTAGTGTAACCCCACTCCTTGGTAGGCTGAAATAAAAGGATGGAAAGTTCAAAGCCAGCCTGGGCTACAGAGTGAGTTCAAGGACACTCTGACCAATACAGTGAGATACTTTATAAAGGAAAAGCAAACAGAAAAAGCATCCGAATATGTATGACTTAAGCATTAAGAATAAACTGTTCTCTGTCACAGTTCCTATGAGTCAGGAATGTAGAAGGTGCTTGGCTGGCTCAGGGTCTCTCTTGAGGTTAAAGTCAGATGTCCACTAGGGCTATGGTCATCAGAAGGCCTGACTATGGATGGCAAATTCACTCCCAAGACAGCTCACTAACATGACTAGTAAACTAGTGCTGGCTGTTCCTATGCATGTGTCTCTGCAGCACTGTTTGTCCTACTTCTGCCAGAGAAAATAAGCTAACGAAGCAAAGCAGACTGCAGGGCTTCTTCTAACCTAGCCTGTGACCACAGTCACACACTGTCTCTTCTACTACATTCTACAGATGAGACAAGGTTATCTATGAGTCAGTGTAAAAGTGGCAACACCAGGAGGTAAGGTCACCTCAGGAGCTGACTATTACAGTACTCCTTCAAAATACACATAGCAACGGCAGGAGAAAGAACCACAGAACCCAAAGGAAAGGGAAAGGCTGGAAAAGAAAGATTTTCATTCCCAAAAGCTAAGACTAGGGAGAAACAATACCCAATTCTTCACAGACTTCGCAGTTTCCTTGCCATAACACACTTGTAACCAACCTGCCTTGGAAGGAAATACTTCAAAGTCAGAAGATATGAGAAAACTCTGGGTCCCAGGAAGCAAGACTCTCCTCCCTCCCTCTTGGCCACCCAACCATTTCTGAAGCAATGATACAACAGTTACCTGAGGATGAATCTGTGGCTTGTCGCATGTGGCCTCAAAGTCCAGCACTAAAAAGTAGTGATACCTCTGGGGAGGGAAGGGCACCATTGCCGCCATTGACGCGCCAAAGCCGTGGGCCGCCAGCTTTCTGGTAGATATGGAACAGAACTCCGGAACACCACAGGGAGAAAACAAGTGGGAGCCCAGTACTTTTCTTGCTCTTGAAAGTAAATACGAAGAAAACCGAGCTGCTCCAGTCTGTAAAGGTGCTAGCATTGAGCATCCAGAGGCATCTAAAACTTAGGGGAGGAAAGTTAAAAGAAAAAGAAAACAGAAAACAAACAAAAACAGAGAGCCTGGGTTACATCCCTCCCACTGTAGCCCTATTCCATCCAATCTTCAGGGCTATCCATGCAGCCTGCACCCCTCCCCACTGTTCCCAGGACCTTTTCTACACCATGGTTTTCCTTCCTGAAGTTTAAGACCCTAACACTAGACCTGCAGTGTTTCCACTACAGCTCTGTCTTCCAGGTCTTTTTCAAGGCAACACACAAAACTAGCTCCATTTGTAAATGGAGCACTAGCTCAAAAGAGAGCAGAAAGAGGACTTCTAGTCACTTCTGAGGTGGCAATAGTTAACTTTAAAGCAAAGGATTCCAAAGCAATCTGAAGTGACCAACTATCTGTACAATGAGGTCCAGAAATAGACTCAAGTTTCCTGGACACTCTTCAGCTCTCTTACATATCATTTGCTCCTGGCTTGCCTGCCTGTGACCTGACATCTCCATGGACTCTGCCTTCTCCCAGCAAGAAAGTATGAAAACCAAGAAAATCAATCCCAGGGAGTTTTGCCCATCACATTCTGATGATTCCCAATTCACACTAGTGAGCAGCACCCTAGGGAACGGGGGCACAGCTGGCAACAGCCTCGGGCCTCACTCTCTCCTAGAGGCCCTGGATGATTATGAGGCCTTTTAAATAGGAAGGGGAGAGAGAAAACCCAGATGTGGCAGTAATGGGAGTATTTCTAAAAGTCTAATAAAGTTTTCTGAGGAAACATGTGCAAAGAGAAAAAAAATTATTTTTCCTTTGCATTTTCCCTTTAAATTCACAGTATCTGTTCTCCTCTGAGGGCTAACTAAATATAAAAATCAAAGCCTAAGTTTTACTCACAAATAACCCGATCTGAGAGGGGGGAAACAAGCAGAGATGTAGAAATTGTGTCCTTCCCTGCACTACTGCCAATACTCAAATTTCACTCAACTTTTAATTCTCAAACAAGAAAGCTTACCATTTCATACACAAATTGCCTTCAGTTTGTGCTTCCTAATGCCACATTCCAATAGAACCAAAGGCTTGCCTCTGATGAGCTATACAAGGAGACACTGTCTCCCTGAAACGGGGTACAATGAGGTCACTAGCACCTGAACAAAAGAGTACAATGCCAAGTATGACTTTTTTTCCCAGCAATCTTCTCACTGAAAAGTTTAAGATAATCACTTGTCTGTATATCTACTAGGATATGTACTAGTGTGGGATCTATGTTTCTGTATGAAACATGAAATACCATGGGGATTTCGTGAAGACTGAAACTGATTCTTCATAAATCCTACACAAGCACAGCACTTGTTTTTATCATTGCTTTACAGCTTCCCCCAAAACTCTTAGTTCAGGGAGATAACAGCAAACTTAAGTTTCACTATGTAATATCCTGGAAAGGCAAAAAGACCAATGTCCCTTTGAAAGGCAGACTCCCCAAATAAACCCATTCTATCGCTCACTCCCCAACAGTACCAGGAAAACTTCAACAGCAGGATGATAACGGCTCCATTACCCATTCTAGGTTAGATGCAAAGTCCTTCTGGACCTTAAACCTCTTCTAATCAATTGAGCCAGGTAGAAATACTTCTGAAACTCTTAATGTGTCTACAGTATACATAGTACATAAATCAACTAGCCTCTGCCTGCCAAATACTACAAGCAATTGTCTCGACTAACAGGCAGTCCAGTTTGTGTTGACTTCAGCACTTACTGGCTAGTCATGGCACCATGGGAATGCTGTTCTTCAATTTCCTACCTATACAACGACAATAATAACAGTATCTACTTTTGTTTTGTTGTTTGTTTGTTTGGGGGGTTTTGTTTGTTTTTTGTTTGTGTTTGTTTGTTTTGGTTTTTCGAGACAGGGTTTCTCTGTGTAGCCTTGACTGTCCTAGACTCACTTTGTAGACCAGGCTGGCCTCTAACTAGAGATCCACCTGCCTCTACCTCCCTGAGTGCTAGGATGAAAGGCATGGTGCTACCACACCTGGCTTCCAGTACTTGTAAAGTGAGAATGGAATGAGAGAGGTAAACATCGAGAGCAAGCAGCGTCTGGTCTCTGGCTCAGAAAGATTTAGTCACTTTTATCACTACAGCTGCCCAGCTGGCTCTTTGCTGACAGTGCTCACAGAGCTGTCCCCTGGGCCCCTGTGGTTCTCCAGGCCTCCCGAAGGGCTCAGCATATACAGCCCACCTCTTCCCTTCAACACTGGTAACAATGTCTCCTTGCTTACAGGCTGCTTTCTCACCTGACTCCATATACAAAAGAACCACTTGAAAGATGTCTTAAGACTACAGACGGCTCAGCATTTGAGCACAGGCTGCTCTTCCAGAGCACCTGAGTTTGATTCCCAGCATCCCCACGGTAGCTCACAACTATCTACAGCTCCAGTCCAGGGAACTGGATACCCTCTCTGGCTTCTGCGAACACTGCATGCACACGGTGCACAGACAAACATGCAGGCAAGCAAAACACCCATCGATGTAAAAATAATAAAAAGGACATCAGGAGGTCAGGCTTCCGCATGTCAACACCAACTGCCCTCCTAAAAACCAAATTCAGACGAGTCAAAGGCAATGGTAGTGCTTCATCTTCCCTTTGTAAAAACTTCAATGCTAAATCCATTAAATGCAGTAAAGAAAGACAAACATCTACACTAGTTGGAGTCGGAAGAGGGGTCTAGGTGAAGGGTAAAAGCCCAAGCAGGTGAGAAGGGCATCCATGCAGAGGTGGCAGGCTGTATCATGTCAGCACCCATGGCAGGCACAGAGGGCATTCCCACCAAAAGGAATTTAATAAGATTCATGGGCAACATAAAAAAGGCACTCCTGAGGGAGAGGTAAAGGGCCAGTAACAACAGAATAGTTACATACAAAAAAGATGAACAAAATGTATATATTAAGGATAATGGAGGCGGCTGGAGAGATGGCCCAGAGGTTAAGAGCACTGTCTGCTCTTCCAGAGGTCCTGAGTTCAATTCCCAGCACCCACATGGAATGAGAAAGAGGTAAACATTCCAGAGCAAGCAGCGTCTGGTCTCTGGCTCAGAAAGAATGGTGGCTCACAACCATCTATAATATGATCTGATGATCTGGTGTCCTCTTCTGGTGTGCAGGTGTAGATCCACATAGAACACTCGTGTGCTTTAAATAAATAAATCCTTTTCCAAAAAAAGGGGGGGGGGGAGGAATAATGGAAACCAGGTTTTCAATTCTAAAAAAATAAAAATAAAACCTGTGGTGTTGTTTTAGAATTGGCAACAAGAATCATATTTCTGGTAAAGATGTGGTTATGAATAACATAAACATAGACATAAATAAAAGTATGATTACACACTCATACACACACACACAGATTTATACCCTAGCACTGACTAAGGATGGGTCAACAGCAATGAGCACATCTAGCACACCAGTCCTTCCAAGTACCATTTTCCACCAAATGAACCATTCTCCTTGGAGAACTGGCAACTATAAGATGAGCCTAAGATATCCTGCCAAAAAAGGAAGAGAATGTTCAAAGAATAATAGAAACAAGTCAAAGGGACTCAAAATCCACCTTGAAGAGATGCCTGCTGGTCAAAAAAGATGGTGGTGGATTATAATGCAATGAATAAGCTTGGATGATGTAATAAATAAAACTAAAATCTATGGAGAGATATAAATATGGTTTCAATGTATTTCTCCACAGAACCCTTATTAGTTACTGTAAGAAGTGATTTTATGACAGAAAAGACAAGCAGACATCACCTTACACAACTGGTAAAAAATAAGCATCTCTGCTAGATGTGGTGGTACACACCTTTAACCTCAGCACTTGGGAAGCTGAGACAGGAGCACAAGGCCAGCCTGGTGTACACAGTGAGCTCCAAGTCTGCCAGAGTTACGTGGTGAGACCCTGTCCCCCAAATACATTCATAACTGGGTAAATCAAAATCACATGCCACTTGACAGGATATAATGAGAACAAAGGATCATTTCTGATATTCCTGCTGAAAAGGCATAATATGAGCCTAATTATAACAAAGTTATCAGACAAACTCTAACAGAGGAACAATCCACACAATAACCAGCCAATAATATTCTCAAGTATCAAAGTTGTGAGCATCAAGGAAAATTTACTGAGAAAAGTCTAAAGAGACCACAGACTTGGTATCTACATGCAACCCGCAGTTATCAGCCATCCCCTTTTGCAAAGAGCCTTCCTCGGACAACTAACAAAACTTGAATGGGATTTGTGGACTAGATAGAGGTTAACATATCCATGTTAATTATCTGATTTTGGTAGTTGTATTGTAGTTAGGTAAGAAAGGTCCCACTTATAGAAAATACACATCAAGTATCCTTATTAATGGCTCATTAGTTCAGGACCTTAATTCTCAAATGATTCAGAAAAGAAATTTTTGTCCTGCACTTCTGATTTTTATGTAAATTTGGATTGTTTCAAACTTTTTAAAAATATTTTTAAAAACCCAAGTTTAAGGCTGAGAGTTTAGCTCTGTGGTGGGTTACTTGCCTACCATTCAGGAGGCTCTGTGTTCAATCCCCAACACAGTAAGTTAAATAAATTAAATTCATGTGCAATGTTGTTTTAAAAACAAAACACACAGAGCATGAGAGATCTCACAGTACCTAGAGAAGGTATGCTGCACAGTCTCCTCTAGCACCAAGACCTAAGGGGGTGGGGAGACAGCCCTCACTACATCACATCTCAGCTCTCAATGCCACTGAGTCCCCACTGGAAAAGCCACCACTTAGTGTCCTTTATCTGCTACTCTGGCCTTACACAGCCCTTTCAGAAACACCCCCATAATTCCTGCAATGGCATCCCGCCTGCTCTTGCATCTGCTAGCAGTCTAAGGATTTCTTTTCCATTGATATCTTTATACTTTAGCCACAAGTGTGCAGAATTTAAGTCTATAGCTCCAACATCAACTAGGACTTTGGTATCCAGTTGAGGGGAAGAACTCAATTTATG